TCTTTATCTTGAGTTGAAAGCTGGTAGTGGCGTGATCTAAAATATGAAAGCAATCTGTTGAACACAATGAGCGACAACGTTCAGAATTCTGAAGATGTTTGAAAATGTGAGAGGCCTTATCAACGGCTAAGTGCTCACATACGCATGTGGAAAAATGTCAGGTGGTTTCGCCGACATAACAGGCATTACAGCCCGCATATGTAAACTTATAAACCACATGTGAACGAAGCCCGCCGGAGATAGGGTCTTTCACACCAAAAGGTTACCTATCTTAAAGGAAGAAAAAACTAATTTGATGTCTAAATCATTACAATAGCGCTTGATTCAAACATCTTCAGAATTCTGAACGTTGTCGCTCATTGTGTTCAACAGACTGTTTCATATTTTAGATCATGCCAATACCAGCTTTCAACTCAAGATAAAGAAGGCTATCCATATTCAAAAAGAACTACCTTGCCTCAATCAGCAATTACGCCATGTAAATCTAAAATTATTCTTTTAATTTACACCTTTTCACATTCTTTTGTTACTATTTGTCTTAATTAGCATTTTTGTCTACTTATTATTCAACTTGCTTTGTAATCATTCAACTGAAGATGACAGAATTTCTGTCGAAACATGTCTTGTAAACTTAAAAAATTGGTCGCTTTCCTTAAAATCTTTACGTGTCTGCTGTTATCTAGACCATTTACCTTGTTGCTTATGAATCTGACATGTTTCTGAGTCTTCCTGTCAAATACATAAAGGCCTCCAGTACTAGAACCCAATGCTATATACTTTTTGGAAGCTGTCATACAAGTGTACTGAAAAGAAGGAAAAACAAAAATGTCAGTATTTGTAGATAGACTCCAGGAAATACTCTTACTCGCCAAGACAATTGAGGAGTCTCCAAGATGGTCTTATAGACTTGCAAATATCATACCTCTAAAGGAGAAAACTGAACATCTCACAGCAATGTCACCCAGGATAGGAGAACTTACAAAGTCTCCTTATTTACAGTCCCAGGGGTACCCCTTATATGGCCTACACAGGGATGTCTTACCACCTACCTGACAGGGTATGGTTTCCCAACAGGGTATATAATTTGATGCAAGTCTGTGCTAAACTCGGTAGAGTTGTATGATTGCCAAAATTTGTGAAATTTGGTTTACTCTAGCAGTATTCTGCTAGTCAAGATCAGACAGGTTTTCCAAAGGTATCCTCACTGTCCGGGGGGGGGGGG